GGATCGAGGCCCAGTTTCTCCCTTCATCCAGGGCAGGCTGTCACACAGGAACCGGGGAAAGGTATGTTCTCTCCCTCCCATCCTGCAGAGATCCCAGGTGGCTGCAGTGTCAGCTCAAGTCACTCCCTGCTCGGTAACCTCCTTTTGAAGCCTAGAGGGTACTGGTTGAAAAGCCAGAAGCCTTCTGTGAAAGTACTCCTGAGTCATGAGGTGGCTGGGAGGCAAGAGTGGCTTCCCTGTGTGTTTTAAAGTAATGAAGTTTTTGTTCTTTCTCTAGAATTAAAACCACTTTCTGTTTAAACATTTACAGCTCTTTAATGCACATACCTCTGACACACCTTAGAGCTACTCAGGAATACTGTGGTGTGTGTTTTCCATAAGCCTTCAGGAAAGTGACTGTTTTAAAGGCTTACTGCTGGAGTAATTTAACAGTTGTGCTGTAGAAATGGAGAGGTAAGCAGCCCAGCAGAACACACAGTAGCCAAAACTCTTATCTCAAGACCCATTTCTTGGAGAATTGCATCAACTTCCCCTACTCAAGAATAAGTCTTATTTATAAATTCACATACAATACAGAAAAGGAAGCTTCTTGCACGATTGTGGAGATCAAAGTTTCAATGTGTTTTTGTTTTCCTCCTCCTGTTTAGAGAACTGAAGTCACTGGCATGTGCCTGTGTCTCTCTCCTTGCTGGGCCCAGCACGGTTGATAGCCTTGGACATTATTTTAAAGCTGTTTCTGAAGATAAACACTTTGCAAAAGATCCCAGAATGCAAGTGCTCAACAGCACTCACCCCGGGCCACACTGTTTGTTAGCAGGCTGCTCTTCTGCACAGGGTTGTAAGTTCCAGTTTCATGTGTCGTAAACTGAACATATAATTAGAAACTTCTATAGTCAAGGATGGAATCTTGGCCTCACTGAGGGCTGTATAAACCAAACCTCTCTACCAGAGGTTAATCCCAAATCTCCTGCTCCTTTTTTAAAGAGGCATTCCATTCCTGAAAAAATATGAGTAAAATTACATACACTAATCAAAACAGTCCCCAGAGTGCCTGAGCACACTAGCAGGCTTTCATCTCAACAACACCTTTAAGAAGTCGATTGTCCTCTCAACAGCACTCAACAGCAGTTTGAGAAGCGGAGATGGTTTTTGTCAGTAACCAGAATTCAATGTGTCTTCTCTCCCAGGTTATGCTGTGATCCAAAATAGACAACGCATGTGGTCATCACCATATACTTGGCTACAGCAGTGTCCTGAAGGCAGCTGCCAGCCAGGAGGTTTCTTCTTCTCATGCAAACAGTAGAGGTATTTTCACTAGACAGGCTAGGATGCTTTGACCATATATAATACTAGAAAGAAGGAGAAAGGGAAAGCATACAGTGTGTGTGTGTATACTATAATTCACATAGTATATGCATATATTGTATGTACATATAGTTATATATATGTTTGGGGTTTTACAGAATATGAAACCCCCACCTTACTGTGAGTCTTAGGGGTGTTTTCTTCTACAGAAGCAAAGGGCTAATCAGGAGAGGAAATAGAAGCAGATTACCCCACCCACCTCCAAAGCCTGTGCTAAAGCCATTTATCACAACAGGTCTCAACCTTCTTGTGCTGGCAGCTTTATAGGACTCATTTGTGCAACCTTCTCATGGCACCTACAAAAAACAATGGTAAAATAACCCCAAAGTAACAATAACACTTACCTTAAGCATAGAGATGGCTAGTTATGGTCTGCATACATGGGAATTCCCTGATAGCTAAGCTGTGGGACTGGGAAAGGTCAACTTTTACCAGAAATATTGTATTTTCAGAGCTAAACAAATTTAGGGGAGTTTGTGATCAGCTCTTATTGCTGCAGCGTGTTATGGTGTGTTTCCTGAATGTTGGTTTGGTGAATTTAACATGGGTTTAATTCTGTGAAAGATAAAAAAAAACAAAATATGCATCTTATTACATTGAAAGAGATAAGTAGATGGACAGAAACAGTATAAAAATGAACGTAAGAACTTTATTTTGCTGATCAATGGAACTTAAATGATTATTTTGGTCTTCAAACTTTATTGGAATGAGAATGCTGCTGAGATGGGTCTTATTTTACGCCACAGCCACAAACATTTGCATGTAAAATGAGAACTAGGAAGGGAAAAGATACAAGATAGGCATTGAATATGCAAACATGATTGTGTAACAATGAAAAATAAAGGTCAAAGGTTTTATAGTAAAATAGAGTGTTTCAGGAAGTGTTTACACATTAAATTGATTAATTAAAAGAAGACAGGTTAGATATACCTTGAATTTAGTTCCGTAGACTTTACTTATTCAAGGGCTCTACTGTGAGTCCTGAGTTTTCATACAACATTGAGAAAGCATAACACAGTTATGGGACTACGGATGTATTACCTTAAATATCAGTACACATGGTAATAACAAGTATCACAGGCAGCACTAGCCTCGTTAATAACAGCTGTGGGGACTCAAATGGTCACCTATTCCAAACTGTAAGTCTCAGAATATTAACTCTAACCAATATCCCAGTGTTTTTACAAGTATCTTTTACTAACAATAACTTACTATCTGGGGATACGAAATGCAGTGCCTCCAGTCTTAGAGGGGTTCATCATTTGGAGAAAGGTCCTCTAACTTAAAGCCAACCTGTTCTCCAAAGGCCAGTCAGTGACAGCACTGAGATTTTACAGAGTACAGATAATACTAAATTTCCACATAGCCAACTACTTTTCTCTTAAACTCAGGCAGTTTTGACTGCCACGTGTGTATTCTGAAGAGACATGAGAATCTTGGCTCTCAAGCAATTTCTCCTGGTCCTTGCTGGAGGAGAGTAAAATAATCCCATTTTTGGTTATCAGTATTGTTTTCCACCATTCTCCTGAGGGCTGCCACAGTTCACACCCACTGCCCAGTACTTTTTGAATGGCTTCTTCCCAGTCTCCTGCCCCTTTTTCTACCTCTAGCTGAAAAGTATTTCAGAGGCAAGAATTAGAGCAGGAAAGGAGGCAGGCAGCCTTGGTGGGACCAACTCCAGCACCAGAGCCCTCTTTGAGTCTTACTGGAATCAAAAGGAGAATCAAGGGTTGAATTTTGAAGGATCAGCATCTTATGGGGACACGAGGGTGGTGTTCTCAGGTTAATGTGGTATTGTAGTGCTTAATATTTGTTGTTAAACGAAACAGAATGTTGTTAATGGCCCAATAGCTTCCCAATCCGGGTTTATTAAACAACCCCCCAACCAACCCATTACTCTGAAGGCATGCTTGTTCTCTAAATGAGATTACAACCGAAAACCTTCATATTTAAGCATATTAATTGTAGGCCTCTGTTGCCAACAGCATGAAGCAGGCTAATTCCAAGTAGTAGCTGCTGTAATTAAGACAGCTACAGAAAACAGTCCTTAACATCGTAATTGTAAGCTCTGCAATAGTAATAAAGCACGAATCTTGGTTGGCACCAAAAACGTTCATTATCTGAAGCCAGAAATGAAGCTTCAGTTGCATTCTTTCACATAGCAAGTTATCAAATGTCATTCAGATAAAATCTGATTGCCTTAATGCAACTGAAATACAAATTTATTCTGTGTTTCTTTAAATCATGCTTAAACAAGACTCTGGTTTGACTGAGTAACTGTTAATCTCATCTAGATGCCTCCTATTGCATCATGTACTGAAAAGCATAATGAATACCTAAGAAAATACAGCTTTACCTATCTGGTATAAAAAATGGGGGGATACAACATGGATTGCCTGGGAAAATTAGAAAGTTTAAGGCCAAACGAGGCAGAATAAATAGTAAAATCTATTTATTTTCCTTTTTACCAATTCATGTGTGAAGGCCCATTTCCTGCACTCATTAATTTAGGTAAGAAGCTTGCCATACTCTTAATCCAAACCTTATAGCTAGAAACGTAAAAAAATAACCCCCCAAAACAACTTTGGGATGAGTAAAGGCCATGGTTACCATCGATCTTTATGTTGGGTGGTGGTTTTTTGCTTTGTGGTGATGTTATTGTTGGTTTGGTTTTAATCCGAGGTTTTTGATGTGTCTGTGTCATTGCCAGTCTTCCATATTGGGCCACAGTGGTCTTCTGGGGGAATCTTCCTTGATTGGGGAAGCTTTATTAGGCCTGAATGAGAGTTCTCCACCTTATGTGTCTGAATTTGGGCTGTTTTGGTTGTCAATCCAGTGTGTCTGCCTTCAGGCTGTTTTGGAGGTCCATAAAGATTGTACAAACACAAGCCTGAAACTCACGCTTAAAGGCCTTAATCACTTCTAAGATGCAAACGCTTGAAACAACCGGTTTTACATTAAACCTCGCCATGTGTGACAACTCGTTAACTCTTTCACCATTTACTGTTCTGCCTGCTGAAGCGTTTCTTAGACTTCCTGATTTCAAAACCTGCCAGGAACTTGAATACCCCTTTCTGGAAAAGGTGCCTCAGAAAGACACTGGTAACCACACACTGCTTATTTTTTTCCGTCTTTTGTATTTCTCTTGCGGACAGAGCGAGTATTTTACCACAGTGCAGCCTCGCTGCGTGCTGGAGCTGCCCCAGTTGTACAGTCAGTGCAGGAGCACTCCCATTCTTCGCCGCCTGAACCAGCGCTTGAAGCGGCAACACCGCGACCACTCCGTATGGCACAGCCCCCTTTCTGTTTACCGCCCCGCGGCGGGGCCTGTGCGGCGCAGGCGGCCTGGGGCGGTCCCAGCCGCCGTGATGGCGACCGCGATCTTTCCTCCCGCCGTCCCTCCCCTCCCCTCCACCCGCACCCGTTATCGCTGCCCTCGCCACCGCCAGAGGGCCAGGCCTCCCCGCTCACCGCCTCACCGGGGCGGACAACCGGCACGCCACGGGCGGGAGGACCGCGCCATCGGGCGGCAGCCAATAGCGTGCGGCCACCCACCATTCAAACGGCACGTCATGGCCAGTAGGAGCGGTTGGCGGGCGGGAAGAGGCGGGGCGAGGGGGCGGACCGTTGTGTTTCCGTAACCGTTGCTCAGGGCGGTTGGTCCCCTCGGTGGAGAGTGAGCGCCCGGCTGCCGCTGCTCCGTAGAAGCGGTTCCTGCCCTGCCCGGTGCGGGCGGGCGCCAGGTAAGGGGATGGCGGCACCGGGGCAGGCCGGGACCCACCCTCTATCCGCGGCTTTCTCGGGGGGAAGCGCTGCGGCCAGGCGCCGCCGCAGCCTCTCTCCGCCCCCACGCGCGGGCGCCGGGCCGCGGCCTCTCTCCCGGAGGGTGGGCGGGCGAGCCCGTCCGCTGGGGACCTGGGGGTAGCGGGGTTTGTCTCCCCGCTTTGTTCGGGACCCCGCCGTTCTCCTTTGCAGTGGCGCCGGGCCTGGCGTGGGGGAAGGCCGCGGCCTGCTGGTGAGGCAAGGGTGCGCCGTGGAGAGGGGCGGCACGGCACGGCTAGGCCTGGCCTGGCCTGGCCCAACGCGGCCCCTCCCTTCCCCAACGACCGAGGCTCCGCGCCAGGCCTGGGTCGGGAGCGCGGGCGGGGCGGGGCTGGGAGGCGGGCCTCCCCCCTCTCTGCACGTGTGTCCTTTCCTGTCAACACCGCCGTGGCCCCGTGTGGGGAGTTCAGGTTCCTGGGGCGCCGCGTCCGCTCTCGGTGCTCCTGCTGAAAGGCCCTTTTTAGAGGGGAAAATCTCTTTTCACTGTCTGAGGATTGGCAGAGTTTTACCTTGGGCTACGTTTGTGCTGGTGCTTAGTGGTGAGGCTAATTCGGCTCTTGAGCCGAGCCAAGCTTGGAACAGTGGTAGATGTCTCCACCATTATAGTGGTGGAGCTAGAAATGTGGAATGGTAATCCTGAAAAGGTCCTGCACAGCCCAGTCTCCTAGGGAATTCATTATACTGGTGAATTGAATATTAACTTTCGGTATAGGCAGTTTTGTCTTGTGAGCCTTGATTGCCAATGTTTCCTTTGGTTTACTGCATTTCTTTTCTTGCCTTCAGCTGGCTCCCTTCTCTGACACACACAAGTTTGTATCTACCAGTGGGGGGGATGTCAGAATTGGAAAGTAGAATTACTGGTTATTGACGAACTTTGCTCTTCCAAGAGGGGGAAACTTCAGTGTCTTTGTTTCTTCTTAAAACTTGTGATGATGTGGTGTGATCTAGTGACTACAAGCTAGCAGTCTTTTTCTTCTTACTTTCTTGACAGAAGTGAAATGTCTTTCCACATACCTAGTGAGAAGGTCATTATGAAAGACCAGAAATGAATGTATGTGGCAATATGTTTCTCTTCCATTCTCTTTAATCGTTTTGCTCTTGGTTGAGTGAGCGGTAACATTTTTCTTGACCAACTTTTAAGCTCCAGGGAGCTTTGAGTTAAATAGGTTGGCTTGGTATTGGATCCAAAATCCTGTTGATCTATTTCCTTAGATTTCCTAAAGGGAAGTCATAATGGTGCAGAAAACACAGATTTCAACTTGGGAGTAAGTGAATATACTTGTAATCATGTGTCTGTACAGTACAGAGTTTGTTGGTTGAAACAATTTTCTTTCGAGGTTGTTTGGATATGAATTATGAAGCCCTGCACATTAAAAAGTTTGTGTATGGGAACTGTGAACATTGGGCTGGTGCCAGCTGAGACCCAGAAAATTATCAGGGCTTGAAAGCGAATAAATGAAAAATGTAATTAAAAAGGCACAGTTTAGAAAAGATCTTTATTTTTCTTGATGCCAGTAATGGGTTTTGTTATCTGAACAGATTAAGGCTGCCTTAAAGGTGTAGTCTTTTGAAGTGGGATTTAGGGAATGAGGAGTGCCTCACAGGGGTGCAGAACAAAGTGGTAATTCTTGGTAGGTTAAGAAGTGATAGTTGCCTTTTTTAGTGTTTACTGATTGAAGTCCTTATTAAATTTCAAGAAAAAAAATAAATAGGTCTTTCAACTAGCAAGATTGTTCATGACTTTGAATCACATTCTAGTATTTCCACTTCCTTAAATTCATTTATTATTCTGGACTTTCATATCATTGGTATCTACCTCAGGCTGTCTTACATGATGTGATTTAGCTTTGGGTCCTTCATTCATGCTTTCCAACTTAAAACTGCCTTCAGCTCCTTTTGAGAATGAGGTTGGAGGAAGGGGAGGTTTTTCTGCCTTCAAGAAGAACTGAATCATCAGGTTATCCTTGGGCTGATTTCACATTTGTGTGCAAATGTCCAGGTTTTCAAGTTTGGCAGAGAATTGCATTTTCTTATCCCATGAAATTTTGAAGTGGCTGTTTTAAGTAAAAACCATGAATTTACGTGTCCTTAGTAACAACTTTGTGAAAAAGTGTTTCCCTTTTCAAAAAGGACTTAAACTCCAAAGATTCTGGTTTTCACCACTTTGTCCCAGGATCTGGCAGCTTTGTCCTGGTGAGGCTTTTGACTTTACACATGATGCCTGAGGTGTTCCAGGTCAGGAGAAAGAAACAGTTGGCTAGAGTGTAGGGTTGGAACTAGATGATGTTAAGGTCCTTTCCAACCCTAACTATTCTGGGATTCTGTAAGTACAGCAGCAAAGGGGAAATGAAGTCAGATGAGGTTCTTGCATATGCTGAAAGTGATGGCTGGACTTGGTGAAGGAGCAGTGTTTAAGACTACTTACGGGAGATGAGGAAGAAGTTGGAACTGTGCGAGTGACTGGGGAAAGAGCATTAGTAGACATGAGTCTCTTAAAGAACTATCTTTGGGGTCAGAAAAATGGACAAGGAGACAGATGGGGATTGGGATCAGGACTTGAGCCCAGAGGTGGCGAAAAGGAACCTTTTTTTTTTTTATGTGAACAAGGGCAGAAAAGGCAGGGCACCCCCGGCCCGGGAATTAAAGGGGGGTGAAGAGAGCATGGAGAAGACTTTGAAATGAAAATAATGGAAGTTGTATGTCTTGGAGTCAGAAGAAACAAGGCTATGACTTTAAGTGGGTTAAACTGACCGGGATAAATCAGAGGAGTGGGAGTGCAGAAAGGAGAAACAAAGGTAGAAGACAGTTGAGCTGGAAGAGCTTGTGCCTACGAGTATAAACTAGAACTCTTGTTAACTTTTCTAACTGGCAAGTATCAGTGGAATGCTCCTTCAAATGTTACGCAGCAGAGATGGCCAGATGTTTCTGTTTCAAAGCAATTAGGAATATTACCAGTAAAATCCACATGAGGGGATTTTGCCAAGGTTTTGGTTTCTCTTTGACTTTGAGAGCTACACAGGTGCAAAATGAAACAGCAGCAGCAGCTTCAGGAAATGCCAGAGTGAAAGTTTATTGGTGAAAAGCCTCACTCAGCCCCATCCCCCAGTGTGTTCTCAAGGTCTGGGATTGGACAGTAACAGTATTTTCCTTTCTTGCCAAAGAATCTTAACTTTTCACTGCAGGTTAGTTAATGTGTAATGAATGAGCACCTAGTTAAATGTTTGGTTTCACCTGATTTTGTGGCTTCGTATTTATAGCGAACAAGTTAAAATGCTTATTTGCTGGGTTGTTTGGTGTCATTCTCTTCCCTCTCTCTTTCCCTTTTCCTCTCCCGCCATCTTTATCATTCAGATGGTGATAGTATGTAAATTAGTATGTATTTTACCTTAGTCTTTGAAGATAGCCTCACTTTGTGTTGAGACTTGAGTCACAGAAGTTCAAGCTTTTCTTCTATGGATACCTGTTTTCAGAAGGCAATGACATATACCAAGGCACTTTTCAAAGAGTTATACAGGACTTCTCTGAAGTTCTGTCTCCAAATGTGAAGATGCAGTTGTGGTTTTCCCAGCAGCCTGGTATGGTGGACCAAGGGTGGTAGTTACTTAAACCATGTTTTACTAATATCGGGTAAAACCTTATGATGCAGATAGAGGCATGGAATTTGCTTTCTCAGGATATTGTGTGATTGCTTTGGTGTGCTCTACTTTAGTTTGCTACAGGCCTCTGCAAAAAGCATTACATGCTTTGTGCTGAATAGGTGGAAAAGAGGAAGCATTCAACCCATACAGGAGCCCAAATTCTGGTGTTCTCCAACTTTTGAGTGTTTGACATAATAAATGGCAGAAAGTATGTAATGTGGCTGCGTGTATTGAATAGATTGGGTTCTTCTTATCTTAACATTTGGAAATCCTTTCAGTCATTTTTTTTAGAACCACAGGAAAACCGGATTAGAGGATACTTAGGTATCATCCCGTTTACTTTTTCCCTTCTAGATCATGTAACTGCATTTGTAATTGTGGTCAAATACACATTTTGCCTGCTTTTGATGGGCTCTGATGGAGATTGTTGATTCACAGTTGAATACTGGTCTAGATATGTACATTTAATACATCTGAACGTTTCTTTCGTAACAACTGAAGTTTAGCTGTCATATGTATTGATTTACTTCTTTTCTAGGGGTTCCTTTTGGAAAATGCCAAACCGGAAGTTTGCGGATGGTGAGGTGGTGATGGGCCGTTGGCCAGGAAGTGTCCTGTACTATGAAGTACAAGTGACTAGTTATGATGATGTTTCTCATCTTTATACTGTGAAGTACAAAGATGGGACTGAACTTGCATTGAAGGAAAATGATATAAGAGTAAGTACATGTTTATATAATTACCAGTGTTTATAACATAAAATTATATTGATTTTTTGGTGATGTAGATAAAATACAACTTATAATTGGACATTCCCTTTGCAAGTTTTCATTAACCATGTCTTCAGGGAATTGGTGCTAAATAATAGCTTTTTCCTACGTGACATTTAAAGTAGAAGTCCAGAATGTTGACCCATGTTTAAAGAAGAATGATTGTTTTCTTTACGATGAACAAACAGTGAAATATGTGGGGAAAAAAACAAGTCAAATCCTTCAGGAGCTCTATAGCATGATTGTGGGTGAGAAATTGGTTTTGGGTCACTTCTAAAGCCAGTAATCAGAAGGTGCTACTCGTTTGACCTTTTTCCACTTACAAATAACAAAACCGAAAACCAAATGCAAGCGTGTAGTCAAGGTTCAATGTAAATATAAATAGCATATGCTCTTTAGGTGCATACTTAAAACATCTGTGAATAGTTTGTACTGTTTAGGACCCCAAAAGTTTTGCTAACTGCTCTATTTGTGACAATTTGGAATCTTTGAGAAAGGGTCATGTCATATGTATGTCCTTTTCTCACTATGTATCTTCATTATTTCATTTTTTGTTACTAATAAAAGCCTTTACAACTCTGTGCAAGTTTCATTTCAGTTCAAAATGTGATCATGCAGGAGACAAAAAGCTATTTGAATGTTTGCTGTAGTTGATTTTTAAGGCCCGTTCCAAAGCCTGCAGAAGTTCAAAACCAACTTGTGTGTCTTTATGTGAGAGATAGTTTCACTTCGGTGGCAGTGTACCTGCCCTGTAACTGGCCTTTTCTTTCGGACTAGATGGTTTCTGCCACAAGGTAGACAGCCATCTTCACTGCTCTAACTTGTTTACTTTCAACTCCAGCTGAGAAAATGCCTTTCTTTGTTATAAAAAACATTTCTGCCTTATAGAAGTTGTGGAAAATTTACATGGGAAAATTAGCATTGTAGACTTCACAGAGACGTAAACCAACGCTTTTTGTGAAAAATGTTTAAGAAATCAGTTATCACTTCTAATTTAGTGATTTAGCTGACTTAGGGTTTTTTTTAGTGTTGATTTCAGCTATGTTGCCTTAAACAGATTGTTGCATCTTGGTATGCCAAATGTATTAATCAACCTAAGTAACTGAAATGATAACTGTTTGTTGTGGTTTAAGTCCAGCCATGCAGTCTCTCTCTCACAACCACGCCTCCACGCCCCCCCCTCTCCTGGGCATGACGTGCTGTGGTATTGAATACCTCTTTGGTCAGTTTGGGTCAGGTGTCCTGTCTCTGCTTCCCTCCCGGCTTCCCTTCCTCCCTTGCAGAGCATGAGGCTCAGGAAGTCCTTGGTCAGAGTAAACATTACTGAGCAACAACTACAAACATCAATTCATTTACCTGGGGAAAAGATTAAGAGGGTAGTACACTTAAGAGCTTAATGCTCATGCAGATAGCTTACATCCATATGCTGATTTCTGTAGCTTTGACAGTAATTGTCTGCAGTTGGAGTTGAGATAGGATTGTGGTTACCAACAGAAGGAGTATGCTGTAGTGGCTCTTAACAGCCTTTGCACAGCACCTGTAAAGGAGATAAGAGACAGTTCTGTAGAGCTGTGTGCCAGAGTCCTTATCAGGAAAACAAACCAAGTTTCTAAAATTGTTCTTTGAAACATCTAAGATAAGATTTTGCTTTCTTCCCCTCTTTCTTTTAGTCCCAGTCAGCATTCAGGCACAGGAAGAGCCAGTCCTCTTCAAGTTCTCCCTCCAGAAGAAGTTCTAGCAGATCTAGATCTAGATCTCCTGGTCGGCCAGTAAAAGGCAGACGTCGTTCTTCTTCCCAAAGCAGAGAACATAAAGATGACAAAAAGAAAACCGTTTCGGAAACCAGCTTGGCTCCACTGGCATTGGTTGGTTGGTTTGTTCTTTGGGGGGGGGAGGGATGTGTGTGTTGGATTATTTTAAAACAAACTTTTGCTATTTGAAAGATTTATGTTATGCAAGCTGGGTTTATTATTGTAAAAGCCAGCTGTAGGTAATACTGAAGTCATTGTTAGCATATGCTGTATGCTCCCACTTACGGAACAGGGCTAAAGAAGTTAGCCTCCTTTTAAGATGTATTGATCAATGCATAGTAAGTATTAGAATTTGAAATAAAATGAGTTCTGGTTTCATACACAGTTCATGTGAGGCTTCTGTGGGAAAACTGCAGCATTCAAATGTAAAATATATATATATATATATGGCCTTGCTGACTGATAATATTGCACAACTGTTTTTATTATAAAAACTGTCCTGTAAGGATTTGGAAGTTTATCATATATTGCTATTACTTTTTTTCAGTTGAAATTTGCCAGGTTTGTTCTTGGTCTTTTTTGTGAAGGTTCTGGTGTTCTGTAAATGCAGAATAGCAGTGTTGATGTTTCTCTATTAAGAGACATTTCTTCTGCCTCTTGTGCCCTTGAGAGATAGCTTCAAGGGGTACTTGTCTGAGGCACAGTCCCTTGAACTGTAAATGCCTTCTGCTGGCCTACTGAAAACAGATATGTTTTAGTTAAGTTTCAAGTACACTAGACCAGACTATCTAAAATAAATAGATAGGTTTAATTTAGTAAATTGCTACTACCAAAACATTCTTTGACACTGAAACTCTTGTGGTTTTGGTTCTGCAATGATCTCCTTTGGGTTGTGTGACCCAGTGCATAGCTTGTGGACCATATGCTTGCTTGAAGCCAGCAGATACACTTTACTTTGGACAAAAATGGCAAAATATCTTCGGTGGTTTTCTCCTGGCTTCTGAACTTAATGGGAAAGCAAACTTTCAGTCCCGCAAAGCAGTGTCATACATGGGACACTGAAATTGCCTCTGCGTTCCTAATAGCATTGTTATTTTGTATTGGACAGTCCCTAATGCTGAGTCAAAAATAACACAGAAGCTGCGTTCTGTTGTAGTGCCACTGTTAATAAGGGGAAAGAAGAAAAAATTAACCATTTTCTTTACTGAAATGATTTTTCCTCCCTTGTTTGGGAGCTGAAACTGTCCATACTGCAGATGTTGAAGCCACTTGTTTTCCTGTGGAGAAAACTGGAGTAGTGGCAGTAGAAAGATAACCAGATAGTTACTGTTCTTAATTATTCATTGTATACTTAATGCAGCTGTTATTTTCAGAAAGCTAAAACTGTGTTTTTTCTTGTAACCAGAAACCAAGTGAGAACAACACCAGAAGGTACAATGGTGAACCCGAGAGTACAGAAAGAAATGACACATCCTTCGTAACCTCAGAGGTATGAACATTGTATTTACCCTTAGTCTGGTGTCACATTCTAACAGCTCTCTTGGAAGCCCTTAGAAAAGGGACATACATTCATCAAGGAGAACTAGAACGCAATGTAAAACTTAGAGGTCACGTAAGTTTACTGTCCAGCCAAGTGAGTTCAGGGGAGAGGGGGATGAAGTTGTCAGAGTACTGGATTTGCGTTTCTGTTAAACCCTCAGTGATTACTTGTGTTCATTGCCATGCTTCTCCAGTATGAATGTTTGGCCTTAGAAAGTGATTTATTAATTTATGTGTTTTTTTTTTTCTAAGCCAAGCCCATTCCGATTGTTAGCTAATGCCCAGACTTAGAGTAGAAAGGAGAGGAGGAGGAGGAGGATGGAGATGGATGCCTCTATTGGAACTGCCACTGATACATAGTCGTGGCCTAAGTGATCACAGTGAAACTGGTTTTAGCAGTCTCTTCATATAAATGTATAAACTTAAGTATTGTATAGGAGCGAGGTACGTTTTGTAGTGAATAATGTCCTCTTAAATATAAAACACTGGAGTACAGTAGGTAATACCACTGGGAATCTTTTTTAGTGAATTATTTTTATTCATTAACAGCAAAAGTTGAAACCAGACCGGGAAATAGCGCGTGTGCTTGAACAGTACAGCTTGCGTTCCAGAAAAGAAGAAAAGAAAAAAGAAGAGATCTATTCAGAGAAAAAGACTTTTGAGACAAAAAAAGTAATTGAGAAAGCACCATCAAAAACAAAGGAGCTAGAGTTTGGAGGAAGAATTGGTATGTGTGCAGATTGTCTTGAGAGTTGAAAACTAGTACTTTTCTGGTTTTACTTGCTGACTGACCATACAGTTGTGTCAAGAACTCTTTGTCCGATGTTTGTACCCTGGATGCAGAATCTAGAGTCACTCATGTGACAGTGCTTCGAGTAGCCTGTGCTGGCATTGGTGCCACCCAGGAATCATTACTACACTTGGTTCTCTTCTGAAATACAGTGAAGATCTTGAGCCTTCCACTTGCACAGTGGGATTTAATTATTTCCAAATTAAACTTACTTAAGAAGTAACTAGCAAAGTCCTTACAGTTGTGAAACTCAGCAGTGAAGTACTCTTCATACAGTTCTATTGAAAAGCTTTAAAGGGATGTAGTGGGCATGATCCTTTGGTTTGGTTGTATGACCTCATATGAAAGTGAGAACAATGACTCTGACCCATTACATGACTTGGGGGTTGCTGCAGTCTTGCTTCAGGAATAGATAATGACAACCTCTTCTCTGTCACTAAAGTTAATACTGATATTTATCATTGGGACTGAAACTGTTGTTAATGTTCTGTGTTTATCTTCTCATACTGCATGATGCTTCTTTACAGGGACCTTCATGCTGATATTTTTCCTGCCTGCTACTGTACTCTACTTGCTCTTGATGTGCAAACAAGATGACCCCAGTCTTATGAACTTCCCCCCTCCTCTCCCAGCACTTGAAAGTCTTTGGGAGGCAAGGGCGTTTGGTGTTTTTCTTCTGTGGTTTTTCCTTCAAGCTCTGTTCTACTTACTGCCAATTGGAAAGGTAAGCTGTTCAGTAGCAAAGAAGTTGGGTCTTCATGGATAATTAATTAGTGTTAGGCTGGAAGGTAGGATATGTTCTTAATGCAGTGAATTTGAAAGCAGATTAAATAGTTTGCCATACTAAGCTAGAATATAGCTACTGCAGATTTCTGTAAGCTTAAAATAGCACAGTTTAGGAGTTTAATGGCTGTGCATTTCACAGTCTTACAGCAGAAAAGGCAGAAGGAGTTCAAATCAGAGCATGGATAAAATTTGCCTGATAGAAACCTGAAATTCTTCTAGATTTCTCACTTTAAAATTGGCAAACTATTTGAGACTGTTTCTTAGTGATGTCCAATGTTTTGGACTGTAATCTTCTCTTACACTAAGCTATTAATCTCTCTGGTCATATGTATATCAGGCAAATGCTCCATTTCCCTCATTTTGTAACTTGAGGGACACTGGCAGGTTCTGAAAGAGCACTACAATAAATAGATCGTTTACTCATCTTGTTCTGTTGCTGTACATGTTTACAGTGATTGGAGCTGCTCTGTTTTCTTGAGACTGGTTAGGAAGAGATTTTTTAATGTAAATGTTTCAAATAAGAACTGTCACCCTTTTGCTAGCAGACTATGCTTTTGAGAGCAGACTATGCTTTTGAGAGCAGTACCTGATTTGCAAATGTCTAGCTGATTACCTTGATTAAATCTCTTTGTGGTGGAGATGTGCTTGATTAACCTCCCCTGCCAGTGTCCTCAGAAAGTACTTTATTGAAACGATGCTGTTTCATTCTTCCTAGGTGGTAGAAGGCCTGCCTCTTTCAAATGGAAGGAAACTGCAATACCGGATAAATGGTAAGCAGGTTGCATTGCTTCTTCTGAAGGTTGATACCACTGGCTGATTTGCAATACTCTGTACCATAAAACACAAATGAGGAAAGATACATTCTGTGATCAAGCTAGGTATGTCTAGATGGTCCTGGATGCCTCCAATTTACAGACTAACAAGAAGCGTGCTGTAATTGATTTACTATGTTCTTGCCTGGCAAAGAACAGTTCTAAGTCCTTATTCAGGTCTGTTTTCACTTCTTATGAATAAAGCAGGTTTCTCCACTAGGTTTAGAGTATGGTTTAACATACTTCAGCAGTGCTGCTTTTTCAGGCTTGAACAGAAAAGTGTTTTTTGATGCCTTGCTGTTATTCCAGACTACCTATTTAATTGATTAGTCAGTTCAAGGACACTGGTGGTAGTGAATCCAGGTGTTTCATTAAAAAGGTTGAGGTGGGTTTTCTTATAGTAGAGCATTGTGTCATACACCATCTTAAAGATGGTGTATGCCCTCATAGATGCAGGGTGAAATGCATCCTGTGGAGGTGAGTCATATTAAAGCTGCCTCATAACTTCGTTCATTTTGGACCTCTGTCTTTAGTAGGGGCATACTGCCACAAGGTTTTTTCTCTGTATTCTGATAAAGGGAGGAAATAAGCTATGTGATGTGGGTGTTTTAAAAAAGAAAGGAGAAGGGAAAGGGAAGAAAAGAGGTCATCGTCTTGCTGCTTCAAAGGCTAATTCTCAGAGCAACTTTGAAAGCCTTCTTGAGGAAAGAAAGACAGCTAGCAGCAGGACAAGAGGCAATGGGCACAAAGAGGTTCCATGTGAACATCAGGAAACACTTGTTTTTCCAGTGAGGGTGACTGAGCACTGGCACAGGTTGCCCAGACAAGTTGTGGTATCTCCATCCTTGGAGATACTTAAAAGCTATGTGGACATGGTCCTGGGCTGCAGGTAGGAGCATTGGACTAAATAAGTTCTGGAGATCCCTTCTAACCTGAACCATTGTGACCCTGTGAAAGGGTTTGTAGAAAGTACTTAGGTGAGGGCCATGTAAAACTGCCTGCTGGTATCTGGGCATCATGCCATTCTCTGTGATTTAATGCACTACAGAAGTTTAGTGCTCAAGTTTTTACCTGATTATTTATTTGAAAACTTTAATGACCACTATCAAGGCATACATGAAAATAACCATATTTTCTTCTTGAAGTTACCTACTATCATTATCCAGCACTAGTATCAGCATCCATTTTCCCACTACAGTATGAAATGGGATCTTACCCTGTAAAACGTGGTTGCACTCAAAGAGTGTCCCTGCATCCTAGCTCTTGAGGAGGAGCACAGGATATTTCAGGGCTGAGATAGAATCTCTTCAGTGTATTGCTGTACCCCAGAAATTTGAACCTGAAGAGCATGGGATGTGTAAGACAGCATTGGATTATCAACAAATCTTGGGAGGTGTACGAATCCTGGACTGGGTAGGTTCTACTAGAATGATTTATTTGCACTAATATGTCTTTTGTTTACATCCTTTAGGGTTTTATGCTTTTGTTTTGACTGCTGCAGCTATTGCAACTTTATTATACTTCCAATTTGAACTTCATTACCTGTATGATCACTTCCTGCAGTTTGCAGTGTCAGCTGCAGCTTTTTCGATGGTGTTGAGCATTTATCTGTACATTCGGTCCCTGAAAGCACCCGAGGAAGAACTGGCCCCAGGTGGAAATTCTGGTAAGTTAGAAATATTTTGGATCATTTCTTTCCAATTACTTGCTACAGTTTCATTTTTATAAATGAAAGGCTTAGATCTAGGGCTGAGTATTATATTACTGTTGACATCTACTTGCAGCTAATATAAAATGCATGCTGCATGTTTAATGGCAGGTTTTTGTGCACACTCAGGTACTGTAATGTACTTAAGATTGTAGTTGGATGATTTTGAGTAGCTTGCACACAAATATTTTGGCTGCTCTAGTCCCTTAGAGATGAGAGGACAGTTCCTTCCTTTCTATTTTCAGCATTTGGCTGAGGCTTGTCTAGTTTGCTTCATAGTGCCCCTGCCAATGGGCCTTCAACAGCAGGGAATGGAAAGGAAAACCAAAAGCTGTAGATGTTTTGGCAGTGGGAAGTCAGGTACAGAACTTGAAATTACGAAGCTTAATTTTGCTGTGCACTTGTGTCCTGGGTTTAGCAGCAGCAGTCATTTTTTTCTCCTTCTTGGTAGCTGGTGCAGTGCTGTGTTTTGACTGTTTGGGTTTTAAAAGTACCCTTTAAAAAAATCTGAATGGAGTTTCCAAAAGACATTTTGATTCAGTCCTGAGACTGCCTGCTTAGAAAGTATCAATTCTATGCAGATGGTTTTGTTAGGACAAGGATAGATTGGCATTAAATATTAAACAGACTGCTTTTAAAAATGGTCATAGGGTGGCTAAGAAAGGGAGTTCATGGACAGACCATTTAGTGCATTAAGATGAAGTGTTCAGAAGTCGTTAGTTCCTTCATCAGTGCAGCTTGTACATGTGTAAAGGGAAATAAGTGATCATAAATTGCTTTGTCTTTGAAAATGCAGTTCTAGTCTCTGTAAGTGGCATAGTAGCATTCTATAACTGTTCTGCAAAGTGCTTGTTGTTGGTTAATTTGGTGTAGGATATCTTGAAGTCCAGGTACTGGATCTTCCTTGTCCATCTCTGATGACAGCTGTGACATTCCTTTAGATGTCACAGATAACGGAATTCTTGCTTGCAGACAAGAGGGCCGAAGTAGGAGGAAAAGTAGAATTACTTAATACCATGAGACCACATTCATGGAAAATGTGTTGTGTAGTTCAGGATAAGGCTGAAAAAAAAGAAGAAACAAGTGTCAAGGAGAAATAAGACTGCAGTAACTTCTAAAGTGTTTACTCCTAATAAATAAAATATATGGACCTCTTAACCATGTGGGTTGTGCTTTGTGTTTTGCATAGACTCTTACATGTTTCTTGCCAACCTAAAGGATTTTTATGTTTGAGAGAACTGTAATAGGAAGTAGGAACTTCTTTATAAGGAGCGTAGTGACAGATAAAAAGAATACTGCTAACAAAGACTGTGTTACCTGCAGGGTATTTTGTTTATGACTTTTTTACTGGACATGAATTAAACCCTCGTATTGGCAGTTTTGATCTCAAATACTTCTGTGAGCTGCGTCCAGGATTAATTGGCTGGGTGAGTCAGTAAATCTTAGTTACTTTATTCACTTAAATATTAGACAAATGGGGCATTTATATATAGATATATATAAGAAAATCTATTGTATATAAAAGTAGATAACACATGCTTATGTATATAGTACATATAATAATTATATAAAAAATAAGTATATCATATATAAGTAAAATACAAAACATATTAATACAAATAAGTGTGTATGTTTATATAAACACAAGTTTTCTATATGTACTTATATATTCTATCTATAACATCTGAAATACATGTATATATGTGTATTTCATCTATAATAAATATATATAAATGTATATGCATATAAGCATATAATATATAGAACAATATATTTCTTTACTATATGTAGTCTACATATAAAATACAGATATATAGATATGTATAGATATACATATACACAGATGGATATATCTATAGATATATATCTATAATTATACAAATATCTATAGACAGATATTTAGATATCTAGACAGATCTAGATATGTTACATAACAATTATCTACATATAGCTAATACATCTGATATAAAGTAATATCCATATTTTATGTAGAGATATATGGTATAATTTTATAATTTAGAATGCATACAATCTAGTATAATATTAGATATAAAGATACATATTTTTATATATCTAAGTATATAGATACCTATATATGGGTGTATATATAGGTGTATATATATAGGTATCTATATATATGTAGATACATAGATATACCTAGAGATATTCGTTATCTATATAGATAGTATGATATTTATTGTCTGTAGATATATACTACCTATTACATATAGTATATAAGTATATATTATATATACTACTATATAGTATATATAGAGATACAGATATTTATATATCTCTATGGAGATATAAAAATATGTATATGAAAATATAAAATACAATACGTATATAAAAGACATATCATGTAATGTAAAATAAATACCTATATATAGCTATATCTCTATAGAGAGATAGATCCATATAGCTATATATAGAGATACATATTATATAGATACATAATACAAAATATATTAAATGTATTGAATTATATTTATGTATTATATATCTATATATAGGTATATAGAGATATGTATATTATTTTACATTAGATCTATAATATATATTATATACTTTATATATAATAAAGATCTATAAAAATATAATTATGTCTATAGAGATAGCATAGCTAAAAATCTGTATATAATATAGATTATATCTCTGTAGTATATAATGTAATATATACTATATAGCTCTATCTATAGATGATCTATTTATTTTATATTTACCTATAATCTCTGTAGAGATGTATAGATGTATGTTGCTCAGGGAAGGGCAGGTTGGACAGAGCCTTGGGTAAGATGGTTTAGTGTCAGGTGTCCCTGCCCATGGCAGGGGGGTTGGAGCTTGATGATCTTAAGGTCCCTTCCAACCCTAACCATTCTATGATTCTATATATATGTAATATATTTTACATTTATGATATATAAATATATAATACATAATTAGACTCTATAATATGTTATTTATATATGTTAAATTTTATATATTTAAATACATATTTATAAATAAAAATGTAGAAAATATAAAATGTATTATTTAATATATAAAATGTATTGCTATTATAATTTATATATTCATAATGTATTTGCAATATATTTTATGTATCTATTATATATAAATATATAATATATTAATACATTTAATAATATATTACATTTTCTATATTAAAATATAATTTTATAAATAAAAACATAAAATTGTATGTATTATTTAATATTTAAGGCATGCATTAATAGATATTTATTACAGTTTATAGCAATATGGAGTATATGCACATATGTTTATATCTATAAAAATATTTTTGTATAAAGATATGCATACACATATATATATATGCACACACATAGATATGTATGTTTGGTATTAAGGATACAGTATGTGTTCATAAACAGGAAAAAGTACTTAGAAACAGTTTCATGCTGCCAGAGTTTTAATTACCATTTTTACGCAATTTAGGAAAAATTCTACATTTTAGCTTCCTTGGTTTATGGGAAATGCAAATCCTTCTGAAAGTATTCATGTGCTGAGGTTATACAGCTCCAAAAATGTATTTAGTTGCAAACTGTGGCTTGTGAATTAAGTTATGTTTTTACGACCTAAACATAGCTCAAAACTACCTGTATTAATATGTCCTGAGGTCTAACAGAAAAGACCCTTGTCTTCTCCAAGGAAAACTTATAATAAAATGTTCTCTGAACTAGGTTGTTATAAACTTGGCAATGCTCCTGGCGGAGATGAAGATACACAATCAGAGCATGCCGTCTCTGTCAATGATACTTGTGAACAGCTTTCAGCTTCTGTATGTGGTGGATGCTCTTTGGAATGAGGTAAATGACAATCATATTGAACTGTTGGCATTTCTAATTATCATATCACATGAATGAAGTCCTGTACTTTCTAATTTCCTTCCTCTTTGTTTCTAGGAAGCCGTTTTGACTACAATGGATATTACCCATGATGGATTTGGATTCATGCTTGCATTCGGAGATCTGGTGTGGGTTCCATTTGTCTACAGTCTGCAGGCCTTCTATTTAGTTGGTCATCCTACTGCAATTTCTTGGCCTGTTGCTGCTGCAATCACAATTCTGAACGGTAAGTTATAATAAATGTTTTTATTACTGGTAGTAACCATGTAGTACTGAGTTTCTGGTTTTGAGTTGTAAGGTGAAGTTTTAGCTAAGATGCAGTGATCATATTTTCTGCATTACCACAGGTGGTGGAAGCATGTCTCTTGCTACAAAGAATATAATAAACTTGTATTAATGAAGTATAAATGAGACACCCAGTTGCTCTGTTGAGGGCCTTCTTTAGATGGATGTCATCTGGAGTTTCAGAAGTGACTCAGATGTTTTGAATGAAATGCCTTTTAGAGTCAGTCTGTGTGACTCTTCTAAAAAGGAAGTCAATAACCATGTTAGTTATGCTTTACTGAACCTAGAGTAAAAGAGGTTTTTGTTGTTTAACAATTTGCATCTCCTTTCCTGATGTCCGTAATTACAGACTCAAGTCAACAGAAAGCATCTCCTTTTACCTAGCAAATGCTTTGAGAAACAATCTTGCACCTTTAGGAGATGTTAAATTCCCACCAGTAGGGCATTGCAGTTTGTCACTTCATCTAAGTAGCAAGCCTTAAAGAAAGCTTTTGTAAAAGTGTCAAAGAATTCAAACACCTGGAAAAAATAGGAAGGCATACAAGTTAGTATGTGCACTGCTGAGAAGCACAACATCCTTTCTGCATTGTCAGGGGATTTTTCTTTATTTGCTTTATCTGAATTACGTTGTGGTCATGTATTTTAATACTGTAAAGAGTTGGTCAGTCTGTGGAGTAGACACTGCAGCAAATACTGGGCTGCTAGTAGAGTTGTTGCAGCACATCACCTTATGTGAATTTCAAACCCAAGTTTACCTTAATAAACTACAGGTCAGACATAAAAGTAGAAGTAAAAATAAAGGTTCTCCAAAATGTTAGGAGTAATGTGCAAGAGCATATAGAACACAGGTTTCCGATAGCATTCCTGTCTTGTTAGAGCTCTGAGAACCAGAGAATATAAGTTACCTTGCCTAAGGAAAAGGCTTCAGTGTAATGAGAGTGGCAGAGAGCATGCAAGAGCTTCTGCTGAAGGAAAGAAAACTGTGCAATACTGAAAATGCCAAATACTGTTTCTTTTCAGGTATTGGCTATTACATATTCCGTAGTGCAAATTCCCAGAAAAACAGTTTCCGAAGGAATCCAGCAGATCCCAAATTGGCCTGTGAGTGCATTTTTTATTTGTTCAATTGCTACACAACGCCTATTTGTAGTGTTTAAAGACACATTTCAGTTGCATTGACTACAATACTCTATTCACAGATCTGAAATCTATACCCACTGCAACTGGGAAAGGGCTTCTTGTCACAGGCTGGTGGGGTTTTGTTCGCCACCCGAACTATCTTGGTGATATCATCATGGCTCTGGCGTGGTCCCTCCCCTGTGGTAAGTTCCTGAAGCTACGATGGAGTTTGCTAACAGTGCTGGTGCGTTTTAGCATCTGAGTGGGTTTGAAATGCAAAGTGATAATTATTTGAGATGCTGAAACCTGTAATGAATTGAATGGTGAATTTCTCTGGTGTAAGCTTAATGCAACACCTCTTTTCCTTTACATCTTATCCTTTATATCTAACTATAGATTTGACATCTCCCACTATAGATTTGACTCTTCTGACACTTCATCATCAAGTAACAATGGAGCTTGCTAATAAGTTGTTCCTTACATTTTTTTAACGGCTTTGCTAAAGTGTTGTCATACCTGCTGGCTCATGTCTAGGCTTTCATCCACAAGTCAAGCAGTGTGCTCTGAGCAAAGATAGAATTACTATCTCTAGCCAAAATAGAGAAAACCTCTTGGGGCTTCCATGGGTCAGCTCTGTGCTTGTAGGGGTTTACCTACTTGTCCGGTTTTGAGAGCTAGGGAACTTAAAATATGTGCCAACTTTGCATGTGTTAAGTTGGTAAATTCTGAGACTGAATTTTGAGGATTGTTTTCTGGGATTTTTGGTGGGTCGTTATCTGCATGTAAATACGTCACATTTTGCACTATCCTGTTGAGCTTTTGATGCTTTACAACTGTAAGATGCTTCAGCCTATGACAAGTATGGCACCAGCTCAGTACACAGAATAATAGAATAGTTAGGGTTAGAAAGGACCTTAAGATCATCTAGTTCCAACCCCCCCTGCCATGGGCAGGAACACCTCACACTAAACCATGTCACCCGAGGCTCTGTCCAACCTGGCCTTGAACACTGCCAGGGATGGAGCATTCACAACTTCCCTGAACAGCCCATTCCAGTGCCTCACCACCTTTACAGTAAAGAACTTTTTCCTTATATCCAACCTGAACTTCCCCTGTTTAAGTTTGAACCCATTACCCCTTGTCCTATCACTACAGTCCCTAATGAAGAGTCCCTCCCCAGGATCCCCGTAGGCCCCCTTCAGATACTGGAAGGCTGCTATCCTATCTTCATACGGGAGGTGCTTCAGTCCCCTGATCATCCTCGTGGCCCTCCTCTGGACTTGTTCCAACAGTTCCATGTCCATGTTAATAGCTAACATTTCATTGCTCTGCCTAAAGAGACTTTCTCACTTTATTCTGCAGGTTTTAATCACATTTTACCATATTTCTACGTTATCTATTTCATCTGCTTGCTTGTTCATCGAGAAGCTCGGGATGAACATCACTGTAAGCAGAAATACGGCTTGGCATGGGAAAGGTATTGCCAGCGTGTACCATACCGCATATTTCCTTACATCTACTAGAGCACTCCAGACGCCTGATCTGCAGATTCCTTCTAAAGTTAGTTTCTTTATAAATAAAAGTATACCTCTTACCTTTGCACTTGGTCTGTTTGTTATTTAGGCTTTTAAAAACAAACAAACAAAGGTGACCAAGCAGTGGAGTGCATCAACAGCTATTTACAAGTAATCTTAAAATGTGAGTTATGGGAACTGACTGTCTGTGACTTCAATTTTTACCAAAATTGTGAATTTTAAAAAGTCTTGGAGCCCTTATCTTTCAAGTTAAATTTTATCTAGAATCCTGAGTTTACATTTTTTTATTGCATTTAATTAAGCACTGTGATGTAAAGTATATTATTTTCTTAATACAGTAAATAACAGAAATTCCATCCAGTTCATTTTTTGCTGTTGCTTGTACCATCTAACTTCAGCTGTCTGACTTAGTTGCCTGAACTGAAGGAGCAGCAGGGCCTTTTGGTCAGTGGAAGTGGGAGCAGAGGATTTGACCCATGTAAGGGGCCTGTGCTATTGGCAGTGCTGTCCTGCAGCCGCGGGCCAGAGCTGGCACAGCTCAGCTGGGTGCTTGTCCCCATCCTGGCTTTTCATTAATGGGATTTTTTGGTCAGGGAGGCTCAGGTGACCCCTGTACCTGCAGGAGGGACAAAGGGATGGGATGGGAGTGGGAGGAGAAGTAAAGGGGCACAACCATCCCATCCCATCCCTGCGTTCTTGAGGCAGTTTCAGACCAAGGGGGACTCCTGGCAGCACCCCTGACCCTAGAGAGAAGCCATGCTGCTGGCTCAGGCTCCTGAAGGTGGATGATACAAACACTTGTTCCAGCTGTGAGCAGAGCTGTGGAAGCGAGTAGCAAACCCTACTCCTGCATCCAGTGGTGAACACAGGGTAGCAAAAGGTGCAGGAAAGAACAAAATGACCACAGTTGGCTGCTTCTGATCTCTGTATATGTCTTAATGTACCATAGCGTTTACCATGTGTGTATAATAGAGCTTCCATGTTTTTGCTGTACAGTCCGTCTGGATTTGAAAAGGCGATAGCTTTGGGGTTTTTTAGGAACAGGAGATACCAGTAACTAAATCCATTTCCAGTACTTTTTAAAAATATGCTCATTGAATAAAAAAGGTTTTGTAAATTAATGCATTAATTCTGAAACCAATTGAAATGGTCACTGAAATATTTGTATTGAAAGAGATGCTATGAAAATATAGGACGTGCTCCTCAATCCAAAGTTGGGTTTTTTTTCCTTTTAATTTGGCATTGCTACCTCATACGTAGGTTTTGCCTTTTGTACTGTTGCGGATAGAGAAAATGGCTATTTTTTGCTATTGCTATTTAAAACAACATTTTTTTACATGAGCCTGTGGTTAAACTCAGCCACTTCCTAATATATTTTTGTATATATTTGACTTTTTAACTAATGTATGTGTTCTAGTTACTACTAGCCGTGGTCTCTGGCTAACTGGCTGTAAATCAGATGCCTTTGCAGTATTGACTTCACAGGTAGAATAATTTCACTGAAATAATCTTGCATTAACTAACTTATATTGTCATCACACTGAGAGCTTTTCACAGACCTCAAACAGGAGGTTTTATAGCACAAAGCGTCCAGAACAGCTTAGCAGAATCTTAACTCCAGTGCATGTACTTGTGTGCTTGCAGGAAGGTTCCTAATAAATGGGAATGTTGCTGTTACTCATCAATCATTTTCAGTTCTTTTAAAACATTGATGTAATTGAAAACTATTACAATCTTTTTAAATAAAAGAACCCTCTATTTTGTACACAGGCATCTTTTTAAGGAGAATTGTACATTTGAAGTGTAAATAATGTAGCTTGATTGTGACAGTTGCCTCCAAATATCTGTAATGGTGGTGTTGTAAGGGAAATGTTTTAGGACAAGTACTTTGATTCCTGGTCTAAGATAGCAGTGCCTGTAACAAGAGGAGCTGTCACTCCTGTGCAGTAACAGATTAAACTGGGATATGCTGCCCAGTGGATTGATGGGAAACAACAGAGCAATCATCCAAATGCCCCAGCCTGCAGCTGGTGGTTCAAAGTGTACTGATGGAGGTGCTGCTGCCATCCCAGTTTCATCTGTTGCCACACAAGGCTGTTGAAATGTAACGCGGAGCCCTTGTCTTTCAGAAACAGATTTTGACCAATGGTAACTTCCCTATATTTACATGCTCAGTTTTATGTGAATTTGATTTTGAAGTAATTGTTTTTACTACAAACAAGTCTATAAACTGAAATAAAGCTTTTGCTTAAAATCCAGTGCCTTTTTTTTTTATTCCAGTTTGTGGTGGGGTATTAAAAAAGATTTACCTGATGAAGTAAAGGTGCGTGTTTGCTGACGTTCCTTTTGTATCTGTGGCTGTGGGCTGAATGTTACAAATGTCTGCTAGAAGCTTGTGGTGCTTCTCTTTGCCTGCCTGGGCACTAATGAAAGGAGGGCTCCATTTAAAAGGTATTCTCTGTTTTCTTCCTTTCCTTCTGCTTCTCTATATGCAAAAGTTTATGGAGCCACCAACAGCTACTTTGCTCATCTCTCTGAACAGAAGAAAATCAAAGCCCTAAGAAGTAGGTGGCATGGCAGGGGTTAGGGAAAGCTGGCTCGGAACCTCAGTGGACAGCAGCTTGTCATGTTAGGAAAAACTTACCTTTACTGGGAAAGATGATGGCTTCAGATAAATGAAGATCTCATCACTGACCATGTCTGAGAGCTTCCAGTGTCAGAGCTGGCACAGCAGGGCCCTTGCTTGTGTGACTGCTTGACTCCATCCTTGCTCATGTGATAGACTGATGTTGTCATGCCTGGAGGTGGTGGTGCCCTGGGTCTTAAGGGGGCAAGGCTCACCCATTGCCTCCTTTTGTTCGTCCATTAAAATTAGCTGTAAAAAGACAGAATTAACACTTGGGTTTGCCTGGTTTTACACTGTATTTTTTCCCCACAGCTTCTTCTGGAAGTCAAAAATGAAACAATTCCATGTAGTTGTGGGATAGAGCTGAAGGGTACCACACAGGAAATCAATTTTGTGCTGATCTGACCTAACGCAAACAAGACTGTGGGAAATTTAACACCAAACTAAATGACCACTCATGGTAATTTTGCCTCAGAAGGTTACTTACCAGAGGTAATGCTACACATTTGTGTAAATTACATCTACAATGGCTCATGAAAACCTCACCAGAAGCACAGTTCTTGCCTTGTGTGGAGCGAAAGCTGTCCCAAGGAGGATGTGAAACCTCTCCAGTGTGGGGTGGGAGAACATCTTGCACCATCTGTGTATAACCAAACCCTCCAACACTGTTCTCTCGTAGAAGTTCCCTAAAATTAGAAGAAAATACTTAGATAGTGCTTTTCTGTTTGTAATATTTCAGAAAAGCAAAGCACTGCCTTCGGTTTGGTTTGGGGTTTTTCTGAGGAGTTTAAAACATCAGTTCTACCTGTTGTAGAGCTACTGTAAACACTACCAGCGTTGTGGAGGACCAGGAGAAAAGCAGGTCCTGCCCACCATGGGAGCAGGGATACCTTTTTGAAGACTGAGGTTGCTGAAGGGGATTGGTACTCCAGCTGCTCTGTGTGTGTGGTTGTCATTCGCACAATCCATCTTGCTCCTCAGAAGCCTCCCTAGTGCCACTGAAGCCAGATGTTACAAGTCATTTTGCATTGCAACTGAAAATGGGGTGTTCTGAGCCAGTAATACTGCCCTTGTAAAATACTTCTTGTGGAATATGCAGGTGCCAGGAGGGTTTCAGTCAGTCCATGCAACAGCTGTGAGGAATGTCTCTGCAGATGCTCAGGAGAAACGTTTAACAGAGACCCCAAGGGTGAAACTTACATTTAAACTGATTTCTGTAGCTGCAATGCTTTGGTTTGCTCTACACAAGCAAGTATTCCTGTGACCAGCCTGGCTCCTGATCCCGAGATTTGAATGTGCAGACACGAGCTTGTCCACTCTCCCAGGACCAGCTTCCCAGGACTCTTCCTTAACAGTGCTTGTATTCCCTCTTGGAGCCATGTATTGCCCCGTTTAGCCAGCCTGACCAAGGACCTTACTGCTTCTGTTTCAAATTGCAGAAACTTCTAAATGTTACATCAGCTGCCCAGAAAGAGAATCCATCTAAAGCTTAAATTCAGATGAAGTGAATTCCTGTGAAAAGTACTGTAATACCTGGTGCATCCTTAGGAATATAAGTGGGAATTAATGAACTGGGAAAGGGGAGAAAAGGGGGAAAAAAACCTCGAAGCCACATTAAAATTCCAACCATTCGCTTTTGGCAGCACAGCTTTAAAAAGCCCTGCACTGTAACTATTAATAGAAAAGCCTTTCTACTGGTGAGACAAATGATGCTCATGCAAAGCTGTTCAAATGGAATGGTGTAAAGGACCAAAGCAGAACTATTTCATGCTCTTCTCTACTCGTGATGTTACAGTCTTGCCAGGACTCCTCTGCAAGCAAACCAATGCTATAGACAAAAGACACTGGGGACCATATGGCGATTTCTGTATGTTTTTGTATCTGTTTTGTATCTGTCACAGCCTTCAGGGAACGGAACTTGGCCAGGCTCAAAATGCTCAATTCCCACCAAAATAAATGGGAGTTCAAAGTCTTCAACAGCCACGGAGGCTGTGTCTGTGGAAATGAGATCTGGGAGTGATCACAAAGGGAACTGTACCTGAGCACACGCTGCAACAGTCCTTGTTCCTACAGGGCTGATGGCTTCATCAGTCATGGTGTTCATTTAACGATGGTTCACAGTGCGCTGAAGCTTCCACTATGTCTGCTGTCCCCTGCTTCAGGAACTGAACCTCTTGCATGGCCCCCCCCCCATATATATATATATGTGTATGTATATGGAGAGAGGAAAGTTCTCAGTACAAATTGGTATGGCTGCAAAACTAGAGATTTGTATACGCTCATGGTTCTTTAGCCATGAAACAACACAGACATAAAAAAGGTTGTTTATTCTAATTTTTACGAGCAAGCCAGTTCTGTACAGGAATTCGATTTTGATGTGAAATAATACCAGATGCCACTAAAGATACGGGAAGATAGTAAAAGCAACAATATATTTTCAACTACCATTGATTTTTGTTCTGTTAAAAGTTCAAGGACAAGTAACTTATCCTGCATTTCTGCAATCAGAAGTGTTGCTTCTTTGTTTGGTTAAACTGTTACGAAAACAGCCCCTAAAAAGAAGATCAACTGCAGTGTGCATTTCACAGTTGTGTTCTAAGTTTGCTGTTAGAAATGAGAGCCCAGAATCATCTCACTGTTCTCAACTGGCTTTAATACTGAGTTACATCTGCTGCTGGGATGAAAAAGCAGATTCTGTGATCATGGATAACTGGCAAAACTTCCTCTCTGTCAGCTCAGAGGACGTCAGGATCAGCTGCACATATGCAGCACAGCCTGCAGAGGTAACAGGGTGTTTACCTACTGCAGTAAGTCAGAGCTCCAAATAATTGTGTGTGTTCCTGCTCTTGTTAAATGAGGGATACGATTTGCAATTTACACAGGCTTAGCTACTTCCACCTAACAAATGCGCTTAGGCGGGATTTAAAAGCATCTGGGGATAACCCTGACCTTAGAGCCAAGCCATAGCAGTGATTAAATAAAAGATAGGGTTTTGGCTGCTTTAAGAAACAAACAGACATTGAACTTGTGGCACTGGAGGCATTCTGCCTTTACCTGCAGTCAACTTTCATAGAATAGAATCACAGAATCGAGTAGGTTAGAAAAGACCTTTAGGATCATAAAGTACAACCATTACCCCAGCATTGCTAAATCCAACACTGGACCATGTAACTAAGGGTCTCACCTACATGGTTATTGAACATTTCCAGGGGTGGTGGCTCCACCACTGCCCTGGGCAGCCTGTTCCAATGTCTAACCACCCTTACAGGGAAGATATAAGGCGTTTTTCCCAATAGCCAGTCTAAACTTCCCCTGGTGCTAATAGTATCTTGAATAGAACATACAACATCCAATCTCACCTTCCCTTTCGAGCACTCCTCCCTGCCACATAGTGTTGGCTTAAGCAGACAGGTTTCCTGGGCAGAGATTTCTCTTTATAAACATCAGACCCACCTGCTGCAGTACCATGGGGGCTCCAGACAATCTGTGTCACAGGGAAACGATGCTGGTTTGTCACCTCTTAAGCAGAGGCTTCATTTCTGGTACTTGCTGGTGTCATGGAAAGGTACCTGGGAGCTTCCAGTCGTGACTTTGTCCCAACTTCTTGTGCCAGTCAAATGGTTCTTCATTATCCTCAATGCGCTTCTGCAGGTTTCAACACGTGAGGTTCAGTTTTGGAATAGAGAGCAATTTAAGAAAGAACAAGAATAAACCCATGTAGTTAAGTTTTCATTTAGGTGTGCTTTAGATTTAAGTTTAAGTGACACTGTTAGATGCATTGGAACGTGCTATAATGAATACTTACATTAGAATGAATACTTACATTAGCCACTTTAGTGCTAAAGGAATACCATATGATCACTAACAAGGAGGTTAAGCAGTATAGATGGCTGAATCCTGCCTCTGCTTACATAGTGATAAAAATGAAGCCAAATTACAATAGTAAGGCAAAAATATGAATTATTGACTTTAATAATACAGCTTTGGGTAAAATATACATTGCTGTTGAAAAACAGAAGTCTTCTCATCATTAGTTTTGGAAAACATAAAATTCCCCTTTACACCAAATGTCTGCTGGTTAAGTTGGCTTGATAAAGAGCAGTTCTGTGCAATAAGTATATATTTAAAGTTAAGACTATTTTTCAGTGAGAAGTAAGAAAAATTATCTACTTTTCCTGCTTATACTGAGATTACCTTACTACAGCCCCATGGATTTCCATGGAGTCATTTCTGATTTGTACTCGTGTAATCAGGCTAAGAAGAATCAAGTTTTCCATTTAAACCATTTCTTAATTCAGTTGCAGATTTTCATGCACTTCTAGATCCCGATTCTAAATTAACCAGAAATGAGAAAAATCGAACTGAAGGAATAAGGAGAGAAGACTTGCTTTAGCGATAGTCCTCATTCCAGTTAAAAATTAGTCATGGCTAAGGCAGGCTTTGCAACAGGCAGGAGCTTTTTCAGTCCGGTTCTCACAGCAGATATGTACAATAGCACTGGGTTCAAAACATCTTTCTAGTTGCTTTTGAGAGCATGTTAAATTTACCCCTTTTTAGTAGGGATTCTTTGGTAACAATCTGCAAGATTAGGTCATTATTTTTAAATCCTGCACTCTTGACTATGCAAACCCATGGTTTGAAACATTTCTTTACCTAAAAGAAAAGCTCGACTTATGAAGGAAGGTTTCCTCTTGTAACACTGATCAAACCTGCAGCCCTTATGGGAGCAGCCTTCATCAACTGGTTTTCCATATTTGTAATAATATTAAGAATTCACCTCAGCTACAGCAGAAGTTTATCAGCAGACCATAACTTTGTTCTTCTTGTGAAGAAACAAAACCCCAATACATCTGTAATACGAAATGCATCTGTAATATCAAACACCAAGTGGCCCAAGCTAAGGTACTTTTTGGATGCAATGGCGTTAAACTTGCACTTTAAAAAGCATAAAAGCAGCAGAGACAACTGATCCCAGAGACTAATTTTCTTTTGATAAATTACTAAATGCCTAAACAGACACACCAACAGTTTAAATAATTAATCCTTCACATACAACCTGCAGAAAAGCTACAAGCATAGTTCATTTGCTATTAGAGTAAGCAGCTTTTTCAGCAACAGCTGTAAAATTGACAGCAGTATCACCCAACTCCTCCTTCTCTCATGAATCAAGCTCTTCTCCAAAAGTCAGACTGCAGCTTAAATCGCCTAAAAACCATCCCTAGTAAAGGACATAGAATCATAGAACGGTTAGGGTTGGAAAGGACCTTAAGATCATTAAGTTCCAACCAACATCCATTATTCATCTTCCGATCCCTGAGAACACCAGAGCTGAGAAACCTCTGAAACATTTTGGCATATTTAAAAAGAAAAATGTTTTGAACAGGGAAGGTCTCATCCAGCTACTGTGCAAACAGGAAAGAAGCCGGGGCTATAATCTCCAGATCTTGTCTTCCTAAAACACCTTTAGTGCTTAGAAAGCAAGAGCTTGCCAGGAGGTGCCTTGCTTGAAATGCAAGGCCTATAGAATGAAAAAATCCAGATTTATAAAGTTATCTAGCATTAAAAATAATATTCATCAGAATACAACTTAGGATGAAGGAGCTAAGGAATTCTACGTTACCTAGGTTTTTTCAAGATGCTCTTGCCAGGCAGACTGTGGAAAGGCAGACAGCTTAAAGTAGCCTTCATCAGAAGAGGTAAGGATTACCAATGAAACTGTTTTCATAGGGATCACACATTTTTACTTTAGGATAATTCAAAAGAGATTGTTTTTCTTACCAGCATTGTGTGGTCACCTGGCTGTCAAAAATCCCTTCAATATGTTCCACAGCTTCCATGGGTGCTGTAGGAGTCTGGAATAGAGTAAGAAAACTTCATTCATTTGATGAGAAAGCAACCCCATGACATTTGTAGTAACTAACTAGGAAAAAGAGCTGAAATTGGTGAATGCACATGGCAAAGCTGAAAGGGACAGGCAATTCTTGCTGCAAAGAAGTTAATGGAAAGGAACCTAGGTATTTATTTCTTCTCCCTTTAAACCTCCTGGTTTCTTTCTCAAATAGTTACTTGGATTAATCTGAAGGACATCAAATAGAGAGTCTCTAACTTTTTATTGGCAGCTGAGTGTTTTGAGCTTTCTGCATTACCCAGCTTGCCCCAACACTTCATGCTGCAAGAGAAAGGCAAGACTATGGCCTGGAGGATGGAGCTGCCATCCCCTGAGAGGGAGAGGCTGTGCAGCATCACAACTTTGCTCTGTCCTGAGTAGGATGCAAAACACTCTCACCATGGACAATTCCTCCCTCAGAAAAGCCGTTATCAGAGCAAGAAATACTATCAGGGATAAATATCTTCTCCTGGACTGTGTCTAATCCTTATAATAAAAGATATGATTTGTGGAACACAATCTGGCACTGACTTTGAAAATAAGGAGAGAATTACTCATGGGTTTTTCTTCTTAAACGTACAGAATCATATTCAAAGAGAAGGCTTTTAAAACCACCCATGCGGATTAATTGAAGGTTTTGGTCTTGAAAAATGAAGCAGCACAGCAGAAACACAGTAATATTAACAAATGACATGTGGTGTGTTTCACATATAAAAATATGAAGGGGTGGTTCTCTTTCAAATATGTCATGAACAAGATCATTGAAACCAAATGTTATTCCTGTTCTTTTTACAGGAGTTTCATACAGGGTGTTTATGCTGAGCAGAGAATCATCTTCTTAATCATCCTTTCATTCCAACACACCTCCAGTTGCCGAAGTAAATGCAAATAGATGAAGTTTCCCTGATGAGGACTGCAACTTATCAGGACACTTTTCCAGATTTGGTTTTTGTCCCTGGAATGAATGAAACAGGAAAAAATACATCAATAATTTAAGCAGATTATTAGAATCTTCGAATATTTCATTGTGACGAACTACAAATACATTACAATTACATTACAATTTTTCAATACATTTCACATAGTTTTATAAACGTATACACTAGCTGGCTGGCATTTTCACTAGTGCTTGCTTACTAGAAGCCAAATGAAGTATGCGTATGTGCATTCTGCTCATCCATGTGTTGGTTCTGGAATCCTTCACAACAATAATTGTGGGACCACTCTGTTGAGCACTGTCTCTGTGCTGGATGGCTCAGAAATGGTCTAATA